ATACTTAGAAAAAGTCAAAGAGATAATGGAGACATTCGTGACAGTCAAGGTGGAGCACATTAGGCAGGGAGAGAACACTCGGGCCGACATACTCGCCAAACTGGCCAGTACGAAGAGTCCAGGTAATAACCGTTCTGTCATCCAGCATAACCTACCAACGCCATGCGTTGTAATGAGTATTACGGTAGAGACAGATGAAATCGCAGCAGACACCTGGATCACTCCAATCGCTAACTACCTTTCAGAAGGCACCCTCCCGCCAGATGAGAAAGAAGCAAAGAAAATCGCGCGAAGGAGTGCTCATTTCTGCCTGATGCATGGCCGGTTATACAAAAGAGGTTTCTCAACCCCCACTGTTGAAATGTTTGAACCCAGGAGACGTGGGGTATGTGTTGGAAGAAATCCACGAAGGAATTAACGGCCACCACATAGGTGGGCATTCTCTGGCAAGGAAAGCACTGAGAGCTGGATTCTACTGGCCGACCATGGAGCGTGACGCTAATAACCACGTCAAGAAGTGCGATAAGTGCCAACGTTTCGTGGACGTACATAGGGCCCCACCAGAGGAGTTGACCTCGATAACATCACCCTGGCCCTTTCACAAATGGGGAATGGACATTCTTGGACCTTTTCCAAAAGCCACAGGGCATATACAGTGGCTGATCGTCGCCATAGATTACTTCACCAAATGGGTAGAGGCCGAGCCAGTTGCCGCCATCATGTCTCAGAAGGTCAGGAAGTTTTTTTGGAAAAATATTGTCTATCGTTTTGGCATTCCGGGAGAGGTTATTACAGATAATGGCACCCAATTTACCGATTCTGAGTTCAGAGAATTGATGACAAACCTCCATATCCGGCACCACTTTGCAACCGTAGAACATCCTCAATCTAACGGGTTAGTCGAGTCTGCCAACAAGATGTTGTCCAAAGGAATAAAAAAGAAGTTAACCTCCCATAAAGGAGCTTGGCTTGAAAACCTTCACGGCGTTTTGTGGGGATATCGGACGACCGCCCAATCCAGTACTGGAGAGACCCCTTTCCGTTTGACATATGGTGGGGGCTCCTGTTCCGGATGGCTTAACCACATCCGAAGCCCAAGGGCCTGTTAACATGGATGGCCCAATTTCGCAGAGCCCCAAACAGCCTAGGCCCAAAACCCCAAGTTACACACACGTCAGCCCTACCGGTTGGCCCTAGACGCCTGTCCCAAGGCAGCTCACCTCCCAAGGTAAGACACCAAAATGTCTTACCTTGGAATCCCATACGCTCTGCGGATCGCCCAGAGACCATAAGTGGAAACCGCCCTGCTGCCGCATGCTGACACCGCCCAAGAGCAGACTCTGTATCACAGCAGTACCAGGCATGTCAGCTCCTCACAACGAATCCCAAGGAGCGTTGACCTCCAATACGTAAGCCCTATCGGATCAGCCTCCAGGACTCCTATAAATACCACCCTTGGGCACAAGGGAAAGGGATCTTTTTTTTTTGGGATTTGAGAAAGGGATCTTTTATGTACTGTTATTATGCTCATTTACTTCCAAGTCATACTCTTACTATTTGTCTGCCATTGATATCTGCTTGCTACCTCTTGGAATAATACATTCTAGCTTGGTCTTTACCTCAGCTAGAAGTACAATCCATATAATAATATTATCCTCAATGGTACATAGTGGGCTTACAGAAGTGAACGATACAATCCACAACATCCCGCTCCCTCAAAACTTCCTTAACTCGCGGGTCCTTATCCTCCATAACTCCCATATTATGATCCATACCTCGTCCTACTAGAATATGATCAGAGCCATATTTCAAATGCATGAATGAACCTTACGTTGTTCTTTCTCTTCTCTTCTCTCTCTCTAGAATTGAATGTTTTTTTTATGCTGTTTTTATACGACTTTTTATCTTTGTCTTAACATTGCTACAACTTTTTGATTACGACATGAATCCTATTTAGGTTTTAGACTTCTTTCGAGAACTTCTACTTGAGTTAAATAAAATTCCGACTTCCTATACAATAAAAATGTTAACAGTCTAAATAATTGGAGATAAATACTTATTTTTTAAAAATAAATATTATTTTTAACAAAATTTTGATATTTATTATTTTCATAAAATAAATATTATAGATTTTAAATTAATTTAACATAAATACATGCTTTTCCTTATTTCAAAAGTAAATTTAGTTTAAAAGAAGTTTTCGGTCAGTGGTCATCTGATGAAGGAGAGTGAATACTTATACTTCTTATACAGAAAATTTATATTACCTCTCTTTTCATAGACATAAAAATGTTTAGATTCTACTAAAGTTTGTAAATATTTGTGAAAAAATATAAAACATTATTTTTTTGAAGAATGATTCGTTTATAATCTTTTTTTACAAATTTTTGCAAATTACACTATGTACTCTCGGGAGAACATAGTGTTCTCCCGGAGTACATAGTATAATTTGTAAGAGTTTGTAAACAAAAATTTTGTAAATATATTCCTCCCCTATTTTTATATGGTATTCTACCTACTCTTATTTTGCCTACCTTTGTCTATCCTTTCCATCATCGTTAGATTATAATCTCATCCAACGGTAAAGATTTATGGGATAAAAAACCCTTTTACCTTTTTCCTTTCTCCCACACTTTCTCTTTCACATTAAAGAGAGATGAAAATTTCGTAGGCAGAATAAGAGATTATAATTTTCTTCGCAAGGGAGGAGAAATAAAATATAGGAGAAAAAAAAAGGTAAAAGTGTTTATTTTATCTCATAAATCTTTATCATTGGATGAGATTATAATCTAACGAAGTTGAGAGGAGTAGACAAAAGTAAGCATAATAAGAGTAAACAAAAATAAAATAATCTGTCCCTTTTTATATAATCAAATAAATTTTATCGTTAGAGGTGCCGCTCAACTGTTTCTATTTTTAGCACTTATAAATAACATATACGGGGGCGTTGCATCCGTCTAGGTCTAACGTGGCCGGTGCCCACTCTAGCACAAACAATGAACAGAAATCAAATTGAAATCTCTCCCTCTCTTAGACCTAGCTTAAAATAAAAAATAAATAAAAAAAGAGAGAGGACAAATTGAAGCTCGATAATTGAACATCAATAAACAAAGCGCTGCCGATTTGGGTTGTCCAAGAACTGTACTATCATGATAATTGTGACGAGTCTAAGTTGTAGAAACAAGATTTTTTTTTTTTAGTGATATTATAACAACAACGACCAAAATGCATATTTTGGTATTATATTTTTGAAATGGTATGTTTCAGAAGTAAAACATGAAACATCACCGTTGTTTCGGTTTGCCACGTCACATATCTCGTTGTTGAGAATATCTTTGATACTACGAATATATTGAATATTTTTCATTTATATTATGACACATGTCTTATTTTTGTCAAATTAATAATAAATAATTTATTTTAAAATAAAAAGAAAATAATTTGATAAAAAGTAAAACACATATTAGTTGTGAGTGGAAGATGCACTATAAACTCGATGCATCCATAGCAGCAAAGAAATTTCCCTCATTGTTAGATAAAACTCTAGAATATGTTACTAATAACATTTGACAAATAAATAATGTCTTTTTATCCAATTGATTTATTATTTTACCACATGTCGCATAGATAGGGACTTGCTACTTTTGACAGTAAATCCTTGTCTAAGCCATAAATGACAAATTATACTTACATAATTGATAACGGATTCTAAAACGTGATATTTTAGCAAATTTTTTATGAAATGTTATATTTGAATAATTTATTTGGAAACATATGTAATTTTGGTTGTTGTTCACATATTATAAGTTGATGTAATATATTAAAACTTATACAATATTTTAAAACTTATAATATTTTAAAAGTAAATAATAAATAATGAAAACCTTATAATAGGATTTAATGTTGTATAATTGTACATAATATATATATATATATATATATATATATGTTAATATATTTATATTGATATAAATCGAATTAAATTTATGCTGTAAACATCCTTTATTTTTAATATTTTATGAATTGATTATGAATAGTATCTAAATTTATATATTTTATTAAAATATCATATCATTCGTGTTTTTCGACCAAGTAATTACCTGACACTATCACATACCACACTTTAATAAATTTGCGACTGTGTGCATATGTTGGATTCAATTTATTTTTGTTGCACATTTATATTTAAATTTTTGGGTTTGATGTTTCTCATGAGATAAAATTATCTCCTACATACATATAAAATATGTGAGGTCATGTAAAAAGAAAAGAGAAAAAAAACATGGGTCCCACATACTTTTATATGTGTGTAAAAGATAAAATTATCGTTTACAAGATAAGAGACATTAAATCATTTATTTTTATAATAAAAGACATTATTAGAATGGGTCAACTCAATTTGTTTTTTTTTAAGTCTTAACCAAATGTTCAAAGCGGGATCAAAACAGATATTCCATGACGTTAACTCACTTAAAGAGTAGATAAAATTGCTGAAAAATGAGTAAATAAATTTTTTTCATAATATGTTTTGGAAAAAATATGGTGAAAAATGTTTAATTCGCAAACCTAAAATAGAAAATAAAAATTATTACTCAGAAAAGATATTGAAGGGAGAGAGAATTATTTGACCCACTGGCTAAACTTGTTCAACTAAAACTCACCTATAAGTCCATTAACATGGTCCAAACCAAGTAAAGCTAATTTGGCACGATAAGAATTGTATTTCACAAGACTTTAGTCTCATTTCTTAACAATTGTGATAAAGTAAGACTTGTTTAATTTTTAGATGATTAATAGAAATATAAATAAAACTTGTTTATCTTAAATTCAATCAATTAATTAATCATCAGCTTAATTATTAGAACGCACGCAAACAAATTTAGGTTCACGAAACATCCTTTCTATTCCCTATATATAGAAAGAATAAACCAAATATAATAAAAGAGGTAGCCATTGAAGAACACATTCAATTAACTAACATGAATCATAAATGAGGCTAGTCCCCAAAAAAAGCATAGAAGGAGTACAAACGAGTCAAACTCATTACTAAGAAAAGGAGAGGGGGCTACAAAATATGTATCCTCTAACAAGGAATCTTGCTAATGAACCATCTAAGAACACGACCTGGGAGCTTCACAAGACTCATACCCACATTGGATAATTCTGCACAGCATATGCAGCATGGACACAAGCAACTCGATATTGACCTACACTTCCATCATCACAACTCATGTTAACGAGTAATTAATTAATTCATGAATTAATATATACTATATATCAACCAATCAGCGAAAAAAGAAAATTAAAAAAAAAAAGAGAAAGATACATTAATTGGATTAATGAACACAAAGCATATATATATTGAAGATAATGTTGTAAATAAAGGAAAACGGAACATAAGATAAGAGATAAACAATAGCATATAAGATTGAAGAGAAATTAGAAAAAGTTTCATACCCAAGAAGCCAGATAATTGCACCCACAAGAGATAAAACCAACGACACCAAAGCGAAGGGTAATCCAACCAAGAAACCCAATGGCCTGCATTCGCAAAACTCGTCTTCCATACTCTCTCTCTCTCTCTCGCTCTCTTTGTAGTCTTTGTCTTAATTGTTGAGTCAAAATGGATTCTGTTTCTCTGCGATCTAAATCTGAAGAAGAATGAAGAGATCAAGTGGAATATCTTTGTATAAGCGTCTTGATTTGGATGTAATTCCCAAGGGAAAACCCATCGTGACGAGAACTCCAATGACTTCCTTTTTCCAAACGTTGACTTTGGATTTGTGTTTTTTTTTCTTCTCTTTAATTAACTTTATTAATCGACTATTTTTATTTCGGCATTGAGTATCCAACTTGTCATTTTAATAATCTATTATACGTAAAATGCAAGAATTTTAGGTGTGGTTCATGTGTTAGTTTTTTCACCCTTTGGTTCAAGGGAGACACCTTTATTGATACTAAAATTACGAAACTTTAAATTAACCCAAAGAAAGAAAGAATTTTTGCTGATCTGAAAAATCATTTGTATCTCACGGTGTTTTATTTTTATATCATCTGGTCCTTTTTTAGTTATTTATTAATACATTTTTGAAAAGTTTAACTTTTAAAGTAATTATTGTCATTCTTAAACTCTTCTAATAATGTATTACATGAGAATAGTTCTTTCTTAAGTACATCTATATTTTGGTATTTGAATCCTTATTTAATGCTTTATATGTAAATAAGATTTAACACATAATATATTTTTGGGATTAATATTTCTCATTTTATATAAGAAAATTTTATCTCTTACATACATAAAAGTATGTGGGTTCTATGAGAAGAGAGAAAAAAATATGAGTCCTACATGCTTTTATATGTGTAGAAGATAAAATTATCTCTTACAACATGAGAAACAATAATCTCTGTATTTATATTAAAAACATGGAAAAGTAGTTTCTCATGTTGCAAGAGACAAAATTATCTCATATAACAAATAAAAAAAATGGATGGAACCCACCAAAAGAGAAAATAGATGAAAAAAATAAGATCACACCTACTTTTTTATGTATGTTTGAACATTGATTTTTTCCACTTATTATACTTTGTTGTTATTCAACCAAAGCAGAGAACATAGAAGAGATACAATGACACACACAAGTGTGGCCAAATGTTTTCTCTGCCAAATATAAATTAAAGTACATTCAAAATAAAGCAAAATATGATAGAAAGACAAAATTAAGTAAAAAAAAGATTGTCCTTCTCCCAAAAAAAAAAAAGCATAACGACAAAAATGGTTCAAAGAAAAAGCTTCCTTTAATCAATGCTTTTGTTGAGATATATAGTCCCACATTGGTTGTATGTGCAACTAATGTGAAGTTTATAAGGCCTTGGGCACTCTCACCCTTTGAGCTAGCTTTTGGGGTGGTGTATCCCAAGGTTCTTTACATGGTATCAGAGCCTCGCCGCCCCCTACTTTCTCTTGTGGTATTTCTTAGCACAGGTAGGTTGGGCCTGTTGCATTGTCCACTCTTCAAGCCCAATGGGCTCTCGTGTGAGGGGGCGTGTTGAGATATATAGTCCCACATTGGTTGTATGTGCAACTAATGTGAAGTTTATAAGGCCTTGGGCACTCTCACCCTTTGAGCTAGCTTTTGGGGTGGTGTATCCCAAGGTTCTTTACAGCTTTCCCCCTCGGTTCAGTAAAAAATGAAAATGATCAACTCTGTTTATTTTGAAAAAAAAAAATTCAAATTGTAGAACTAACAAAGAAGGATGAAAGTAACAGAGAGAACCAGAAAAAGAAGAGAACGAGAGGAAATATCAAATGTCAAAGGCCTATAAACAGAGGAAACTTCGTCATAAATGTCGAACATATGCTATTAATGTTCATGTACTACCTGTAACAGCCCGTTGTATAATGGTATTGTTAACATTGATTATGATATTAAGCGCAGTTACAATCACAACAGTTCATTTATAAAAATACTAGTAAACTTTTTCTTTTAATTACGCGAGCATTTACAACTATAATAAAACGTAATGAGTAAAACTGTGATCATAACTAAAATCTAAATGCTAAATAATTATAAATAATGCCTAACTTGTTGGGTTTAGTATGCTCTTTTCACTTAAGCCTAATAGTTTTAGTGAGAGTGAGCCCAAAGTCCAATTTTAACCCATGAAGCTTAGGGTTAGTTTTGGATTGGGCAGAATATATAAACAATCTTTTCTCCCTTGTGCCTCCTAGGATTACAGTCATCAGAAACACACCAAAGAGGCAGATGTTCATCATCTGAACGGTTGCCCACAGACCCCATGATCCCCTTAAGTCATAGCCTGGAAGATCAACGGTAGAGCGGAATTGCGACCGTTCGTGGTGCGTTGCTGCAAGATCGTGAGGCTTGACAAGGAGAACTGAAGGTGAGAAATCGTCACGCTCGCTTCTTCGCCCCAGGTAATCAAAGCGGTGTCTTCATTCCTCATCGCATCGGTACGATACGCTTCCGCGTTTCTGGTGATATACCTTCATGTGGTATCAGAGCCGGATTGTGATGGGGATTAAGATCAGTTTTGATTTATTTATTTATTTTTCTATGTGATTTTGAAAATATGGCACCTTTATTCTGTATCTGTTATTGATATTCATGTTGTTAATTCATTATAGTTCTTTTTCATAAAAGTTTAAATTTTAATCTGTAAAAATGTTTTAATCTATGGTTAAGGTCTCTCATGTATTTCTCGATTTGTAACAAGGAGGCTACTCCCATATGATTAGGTTTCCTCCTTGCTGTTTTTATTTATTTTAGGAATTTCTGTGTATTTTTCTAATATTTTGTAAAAGTTCAAGATCGAGAAACCGCGAGGAAGATGCGCAGTCAGCACTGTCAAAGACTTTTCGAGGACTTCCTGATCTCATAATTGGGCGATCTATATATGGTTGGAAAGAGGACGGAAAGACGAACACAACGGTGGGTGGATCGCCACCACCAGAGCCTCCACACGCCTCCACGTGCCGCCACAATCGGCTGCGAGTGGCCGCCACCAGCAAAGAATGAGAGTGTGAGGGAGCGTCAAGCCACCTTTTTGGGTGGTTACGGCGGTGGTGCACTCGTCTCTATATGGCGGTCCTTCCCTTGCTCCACATCGATCATTGCTCTTGCGGTGGCTAAGAATGGCCTCCCAAGCAATAGAGAATCTCGACATCTTCTTCCATATTCAGAATTAAAAAATCTGCAGGGAAGATAAATTTGTCAATTTTAACTAAAACATCCTTAATTACCCCATCTGGTCGTCTGATCGATTTATCCGCTAACTGGAGAGAAACAGTAGTTGGCTTCAGTTCTTTAATTCCTAGAGCTCTGCACATGGACAGTGGCATCAGATTTATACTTGCTCCCAGATCACATAATGCTTTTCCTACTTCAATATTTCATATGGCTATAGGAATACTGAAGCTACCCGGATTTTTCAGCTAAGGAGGAAGTTTCTTCTGAATGATTGCACTGCATTCCACTGTCAGGGCCACTGTTTCGCACTCCTTTAGCTTGCGCTTCTTTGACAGAAGGTCTTTCATGAATTTTGCGTAATTGGGCATGCTTTCCAGGGCTTCTGCGAAAGCAATGTTAACTTGCAGCTTCTTGAATATGTCCAAAATTTTGGTGTATTGTTGTTTCTGGATCTCTTGTTTCAACCGCTGAGGATATGAGACTCTTGCATAGGGAGACGGATCTGCCGACTTCGGTTGCCTGTCCAGAGCTTTCTTTTTCTCCCATTTGAGCAGCTTCTTTTCTGGACTGCTCTTTTCAGCTTCTTATGCATCTTCTTCTTTCTCCTTGACAACTACAAGTTCAGCTTCTTTCTTCTTTTCAACTAGCAGCTTTTTCACAGGTTGATCACGATCCCACTTATGGTGAAAATTGAATTACATTGTGCATTTGGGTTCGTGTCGGTGTTACTTGGAAAGGTGCCATGAGTTTTTCAGCAAATTGTTTTGACAGCTGGCCAATCTGAGTTTCCAGATTTCGGATAGAAGCTTCTTGATTCCGGAATGAAGCTCTTGTTTCATCTCTAAAGGCATTTGCATTCTGAATATAATTCGATGTGGTCTTGGAAAGCTGTGCAAAAGCTTTCTCCCACTCTGAAGTGTTGCCTTGTGGTGGGGGTTGTTGTTGCAGTGGCAGAGGAGGATTCAGCTGATGGTTTGACTTGTAACTCAACCCTGAGTGTTGATTAGGATTTTTCCACCCTTGATTGTAGTTATTCTCATATTGGTTCCTCCCTGGATTGTTCTGGTTCTTTTGATCGTACCAGATTCCATTGACCTCAGCTTTTTCAGGTGTCCTCATGTAGTCGCAATCTTCAGTTGCATGAGCATCTGCACAAATACCACAAATAACTTGAGAATTACTAACAGAAGAAACTTGAGAAAGATTAAATTGCTTTGTAAGAGCATCTAATTGTTTTTGTTGTTTCTTATTAATTTGCAGTATTTCTTCATTCTGAGCCAAGATTGCATCATATTCGTCAAGTTTCATGATTCCTGCTCTCCTTTGTGTGACTGGAGCATTGTCATACTCCTGAGAAGCTAAAGATTCCAACAATTCCAATGCTTCCTCTGGAGTTTTTGTTTTCAACGATCGTCCTGCTGCAGCATTCACCAATGTTCTTGTGCTTGGCGTCATTCCTTCGAAGAAGATTCTTCCTCTCTCCCATGCTTCGATGCCATGTTGAGGACACTTTCAGAGCAGTCCTTTAAACCTTTCCCATGCCTCGTAAAAAGATTCACTTTCTTTTTGTTCAAAAGCAGTGATCTATGATTTGAGCCTTGCCATCTTTGAAGCTGAGAAGAATCTGGCCAAGAACTTCATTGCTAAGTCATCCCAGTTGGTGATGCTTCCCTCAGGCAGTGATTGCAGCCAAGCTCTTGCATCATCCTTCAGTGAGCATGGAAATAATCTAAGCAAGATGGCGTCACGTGAGACTCCATTCATCTTTAATGTATCAGAGTAGAGTAGGAAGTTATCAAGATGAATATAGGGATCTTCTGTGCTTCCTCCAGCGAACTGATCTTTTTGAATTAATTGTAGCAGCACCGGCTTGAGTTCAAAGTTGTTAGCATCCACGGTTGGTCTAACAATGCTCGCCGTCTGTGGAACTCGAGCTGAGGTCATGTAATCTCCCAACGTCCTTGGAGGGTTCTGAATTGCATTGTTTTCAGCCATTGTTTCCTCCTTTGGTTCCGTTGAACTTGAGGCTTCTTTTGCTTCTTTCGCTTT